ATACAACCTTCACAGAACCTATCAGAGTATCTTGTCAATTTACACTTGTTACATTCTTTTGATTTGCCTGATTTATATATTACATTCTGTAATTCCAACTCATAAATAAACTTTTGCTTACAATACTCTTTTTCACTTTCAGAAAGCTCCTTGTTATTCTTTAATGAAAAAAAATAGTCGATTCTACTTTCTTCATCAGGATTAGCCAATGCATTATTGTACATTTCATTACTAATTTTAATTACAAAATCCTGTCTTTCTGTTGATAACGATAATAATAATTTATTATGTGACATTATGTAAAAATATAAAATATAATTCGAGAATAACGGTTACATTATTTCCAGAGAATTGAATGACGTGTAACAAACAATTTTTCGTACAACATTTTTTTTGATTAATTGATAGGGATGTTAAATTGAAAAACGAAAATTGCATTATTTAAAGAACAACTCCTTCATAACCAAACTCTAGTGATAGATTTATCAATAAAAGAAATTCAACATTCTCAAAAATATCTAAAAACCTGTTTTATGTGGTAACCTATGTTGCTTCAAACTCAGGCACCAAAGACAGCTCAAGCACATTATTATCAATTTAATACAACTCATATGTATATAAAGTCAATTAATAATAAAAGAATGGTTTTAATTTGTAAAAAAGAAAAGGAAATTTTATTTTGAAAGAAAATACATGGAAAAAATAAGTAGCTTATTTAAGTGAAATTTCTAATTCAAATCCATGATAATTACTCTTTTTGCATCATTGCAATATTACATACAATGATATAATAATTCTTTATTTATCCCCGGGACACATATTTTTACATAATTTGGAACTTTTGATAACTCTCTACTTTATTATTATCATTATTGCTGCTTATATCAAACGTTTTTACTTACGTCAAATGGTTATACTTATGTCAAATGGTTTTACTTGCATCAAGTGATTTTACTTTAGTAAAATCTTCAAAATGGCCCTGGTGAGAAACCACCTTTAGTCAATAGTTTAGTTACGTCAATGACTAAAATCAAAAGTTTCGTCATACATCATTATTAGCTCATAATGTTAATTTAATATAATTGTTTACCTTTTTGAATTACTCTGACGAATTTAGATATTGCTTATATGAATAGTTCTTTAATTAGTTGAGCCAGACCACATAAGTTGCCAATCTATTGAAAAATCCAGAAACTATAACAATCTAGTTTATGAATATTTTGAAAGTAACTATGAAATACATCACAATCAATCATCCAATTATAATCTAAATGAGCGGTTCCAAGTATCCATATCAGCCGATTTGGTTTCTTGTATCCTTTTTTCAAACCTTATATCTTATTGTGTCTTGATGTTAAACACGAGTATTTTTAATGTGTAAAAATGGTCAGTAGAATGATAATTAACCCTAAAAAAAATTATTTGCTCCGCTAAAAAAACTTTTTACCATTCAACAACCCGTAAAACAATGGCCCGCCTAAAACCAATGGGTTTTTGCTAGTATAAAGTATTCATAATGTTATGATCATACCTTACAAATCGTTGTTGAAAATATTTTTGTATGTAACTTGGAGTGAAAACATTGTTACTCCCTTGGATTATATTAGAAAAATCCAGATATATTTCTTTATCTCTATTTTAAAGTCCTTGATACTCTCTTTATTTAAATCCAATACTCCCCAGTATGCAGGGCTAAAATTAGCAAATAGATATATTATGCTAAACTTGCGTTAGTATTTTACGTACTTTTGGTATTTGTTTTTAGTATTTACGAAATAATTCCCCATTATTAATAAAACAATGAGTTTATTTAAACACGTATTCATTAAACATTTATAACAAGCTTTACCTCAGAAGTTCTATCATTAGTGTTTTTCAATGGTAATGGAACTTCGTCTGATAATAAAGCTTCATCGACATTTTCAATGATAGATACTTTTTCTTTTTGGTGTATTTCAGTATCTCAGCACTAGTATTGCGATCTTTTTCTTATCCGCCTCGCTTTCTTCTGAATCATACATTGTGTATCATCTACATTTGTAGCATGTATCTTCTTTTGATTTTCTTTTCGAAACTACATCCTTCATCCATATGATTTCGAATTGCACCATCTTCCTCAATGTCATAATCATTCACTGATGGACAAGGTGTATAATCAATCATTCGATCATTATTTTTGTCTGATTTTTCTAATTTTTGAGTTGCAAACCAAATATTCAATGACCATATTAAATCAGATCATGTCTGAAAGTCCAGAAGCAGTCTGCTAAAAATTGCAATACTCGCATAAGGGACCCAGCCCAACTCTTGGATGAAAACTGGGGTGTATAAACTCTGGCAAAGCAAGAAAAATCACAAAGGATTTGTTTTCCTCCTATGCCTATTTTTCAGGATTGCAATCACTCTCCTTAGGCCTACTGCAGATTGTGCGAACTGTTAAATTAATTATTCAAGAATAAACACGTGTATTTTTTTTTATTCACTCGTGATCGACAGCTTTTGATACTCGTTATTATGACGAAAGTAATAATTATAAAGTTTATCACAAAAACAAATTTGTCTGGCAGTATGAAACTTGATTACGACTAGTATATTTTTTAAATTCGATTTTATTTTATTTTACATAATAATAAATAAATTAAATGTCAAAGAAAAAAAAAGGTTTAAACAACACTTTTTCAAAGTGAAGAAATTGAACGAACGTGTGTAATGTGTGTAATAGTAATGACACTTTACTAAAATGAAACCGCACGAGTTTATGGAATTGGTTGGTCTGGAAGAGGTCTCCTATAATCCATAAAATACCAAGCAATAGCACCGGCAATTATAAATACAATACTTAAGATTACCTTTATATATTCTGGTGGGTTTGCTGTATCTTCTTGGCAACCTAATATACCAGTATCATCGGAATATTGTGTTTTATCTGGTGTCATTGTATTTCCAATAATTATAAATACTGCGGAAAGCATGAATATGACTGTTAGTCCCCACCAAACCGTAAATGATCGGTGAAGATTTGGTTTTTTATATTTAAGCCACTGATTTATTAAATATAAATAAATATTAGATTGCTGTCATCAAAATAATATTAAATAAAGGAAGAGAATTTATATAGAAATGGTTTTTTATTTACCAACAAACCAATACTAGCACATAAATAAAAAATCCACACAAGATATATGTTAAAATCTGATAACACTTTAAATGAGTCTGTGGAAAATGCACCAACAGCTATGAAAACTATCACACTCCATATAAATTGCGCTAAAAGAGCATTAAAAGGTGTTAAATAATCATCATGTAATTGTCTTAAATAAACGGGGAAGAAAGGTAAAAGATCGTCTCTTGCAGAGGCCACAATGACACGGGAACCACTAAAAACAATAAAATAAGCTATTTAGTTCTTAATATTTTTTAAAAAAAGAAACATTATTATTCTAACCTCCATGTCATAGAAGATGCTGCACCAAAAGCCGACAGAGAAACAAGTAAAGTCAATACTCTTGAAAAAATGTCACCGAATATCCGTTAATCATTACTGACAATATTTTATTTACATTTGATTTCATTAGATTCTGATAGTTAAAAGAAAGAATTAATGGATGATTAATTTAATCTCCTAAATTATTCGTTATAATTATTCGTCTTTTTTATTTTATCTATATGTGCTGATTTTGTATTAAATAGTAAAATAGTTTTTTTAGCAGAGCAAATAAATTTTTTGGGGTTTAATTATAATTCTATTGACCAGTTTACACATCATGTTTAACGTGTTTAGCGTCAGACACAATAAGATATAAGGGTTGAAAAAGGATCCAAAAAACCAAATTGGCTGATATGAGTTGACAAAAATGAAGCTGTTAAAAGGTTGGGTATTAATAATATCCAGTGTATGTATATTGAATATATATATTCTCAAGAAGGACAAGATGCCAAAACTCCAAATTATGTGTACAGAGGATGAATTGAAGATGTGGGCTATAGTTCCATTGTTTTATGGCGTTTTTATATTGACAAATAACAAAGACACTTGATAAATAAATCAATATTTTCTTTAAAAGAATTTCAAAGGGCACGAAATGAAAAAATTAATCTTTCCTTAAGAGCAAAAGTTGATATAAATTTGTTTTTTTTTCTCTATTAATCATCGTCTAGTTGCCAAAGTTTTTTGATAAGATGCATCCTAATAATTTATCAGTGTATATATATATTATTATTATTTCATCTTAATGGTAAAGATCAGTTAATTTATTAGGTTTACACTTTTCTTTGACAATTAAATTTTTTCAGCTTTATAGATTGCAATAAAATTAATCTCTCTCTTTACAATAATAAATCTTCTTTAAATTTAAAATTGATAATTAATCATCATCAGTAATAAGAAGCTCCTGATCGTGTATTTTGTGAATTCATTGCCTTTCTGTTCACAAATTTTTGATGAATTCGCTACTGGTTGTGGAAAAAGAAGGAGCCGGTCAGTTGTAGTATTTTTATTCCCGCCGACTGAATTTCATAACTAGCACCAGCGGGCTTACTAAATGTATAATAAACTGTTTAATATTTCAAGCCATGTATGATTCTGAAAAATAGATTGAACTGTTTGAAAACAACAATAAAATAATAATATCCTTATCCAAAGCCATTTATTCTCGGTTTCTTTATATCAACGAATCATTATTTGACAAGTCGACAGATTTTATCGGCCCAATTCACCAATTGTAAATGTACAGCATACAAGTATTTATAAAGGATAAATTGATAGTAATTGTATGAAACTGATGTTTTATTAGAAATAAGTAAAAAAATGTTATATTAATAAATTGATTGATTGATGGGATTTTTTTAACGCGAATATCTATATTAATCATCTATACGGAATGAAATATAATTTTTTAAATTATCTTGTATACTTCATAATCTTCTAACAAACAAGTTTCCTTATTACCGGTTTTTAGATACAAATTATTTTCGTAAGTATTATTGTATCGATAAAAGCAGTAAGGTTCGTTCTTGATAGTATTATATAAACACAAACTCTCAAAACCCACCGCTCCATCACAAAATATTTTATTTTCGTAAGAAAAATCAATTCGGCCATAATGAACTATTGCATTTTCAGGGCATCTAACTCTACTCATTATTGAATGTTCTATTTGATTTTTATCAATTTTAAAAATAAAGCTTGTGCTAGTTTTGATGTAATAATTTGCATCTGATGTAAGTCCTTTGAGATTCCAACAAACTGGATTATAACCACCAACCAATTCACCTGTCTCTTTAATTTTCATGATGGCCACAGTTTCTTCAATATCATCACATAATCTATGAAAAACTGTGCCGGAAAATCCGTCACGAATTCCGCTAAGAATCAATCTAAATTTATAAGAAATGTTATTTTCAATATCGTATGTATTGCGAACCCAATTTATCCAATTTGAAATATGACCTTTTGCTTTTTTTGACTTTAACAGGTTTCCTTTTCCTGTTCTTGGACCTTTCTTGGTTAATAAACGGGGCACCCAATTACCTGTACGATGATATTGAAGGATTTCTTTGTACAAATCTCTATTAATAATTTTTTTAAAAGGTTGGATTTTTTTATTGAAATCTTTTGATGAAATTTCACAAAATCTTATTAATGGGATAACATCACGTAAAATATTTTTCAAAGATTCAAAATCATCATTGTCCCATTCAGAGATGTTATCTTCTTTCAATCCTTCCTTGTTTTTTTGTTTAATTCCCCATTGAATAACATAATTCCAAATATCAATTTCCTTTAATATCAAATCATTTTTTCTCAATATGGATAAAAGTATCGATTTCTCCAAGATTGCTCCGGAATCAGCATCTTCTTCATCTTCATCTTTATTATAATCATCATCATCAACTGATTTCATGAATAATTCTGGTCCAACTGAAAGCCAATGATCACAATAATTTAAAAGTATGCTAAAATGATTGTATTTCAATGTCATTTTATAAATAGAAATCAAGTTGTCTCTTGTCCATTTTTGTTTTTTATTAATTAGATCGTATTGTAGAATATCTAATACTTCATCCCCGATACACAATTCATCACAAGCTTCAAGAAGTTCAAGATTTTCTTTTGGATGAAGACGATCCAAATCGATATTTCCATTATAAATGTAACTATTATTATGATTATATTATTGCAAGTTATATTAAATATAAAATTAAAAAGATTATAATTAATCAAATCGACTAATTCAATTAAAGAAGAATAAGACCTTACCCCAAAATAATTTGAAATATTCGAGGAGGAATATTTTTCTTTTCAAAAATAACCTTACCATTATCAGATTTTCTTAGCCAATTATTTGATAAAGCTGCTTTAAAATAAGTTGAATTTGATTTTAATATGGTAGAATGAGCATGAAATGTTTTGACGTTTTGATCCTTTCCAATTATTATTTCTACGTCACAATGATCATCGCCACCACCCTCACCATCACTTTCTGACATCATCTTTAATAAAAAAAATTTTTTTAAAAATTTAAATGACAACGTAAATAAATATATATATATTAATGTGAGAAATTTTTTTAAATGAGTAATCTCAATTTGGCAATCTATGTAAGTCACATGATGTTTATCAATAAGGAAGTAATAAAAATGCGTTCGCAAAAAACAAATGCAAAACATAATAATAATCAAAAATGTCACGTTTCAATAGTCTACTCGATATAATAAAGGCTTTCTGCACCCATATCTAGAAGTATTGCACTACAACTATATTTAAAAACGAGAATAGTGTCTATCTTTTAACACAAAAAAAAGATTTAACATTTGCCGTGTCACGATCTCCTTCCAAAACTCGCAAGTCGTGCGACTTCCGTGCAGTTTTCTCGCCGATTGTTATTTCTCTTAAAAAAAAGGTTGAAGATGATATCAGTCATGAAAAAATTTTAAAAAGTAACATTGATATAATGGAACTTGATGTAAATATTGATTCATTTAATGGTTTATATTTTTAATCTGATAATAAAATCAATTGATTTATTTGTTATTTTTATTTATTTCAGGCTGAAAAGGTGTCATATTGGCCATGGCTCTTTCAAAAGAAAAGCATTCGCTCCAATAGAAAATGTTGTAAATAATGTGTCATTATCATCAGCTGCAACTCAACTCAAGTGGTACTGCAACTTAGATTAAAGCATATAATAGAAAGATATGTACCAGATCATTTGAACTATGATGATCCAATAGTTTCTTTAAATGTTGACACATCAAATCCTCACCCATGGCTTAGAAATAACTTTTCAAATGAAGAATGGAAAAAAATTTCGGATAAGTCAAGTTCAAAAATAAACGATGTTGGTAATGCAAACTTTATTGGTGAAAATCATATTAATGACCTAAGAAACCATTTGTGAGTATTTATGTATCTTTTGCTATAAAATCTTCATTGCTAATAAATTACTCTAGTTATTTTATTCACAAAAATTCGACTTACACTAAAAAGGATAAGTTTATAAGCGAAGGCACATGGCGAAGCCATTTCACCACAATTCCATTCAATATTGTTACTCGTGATGTTGGAAATTTACAACTAATAATGTATGTAAATATATAAATTGGGAATTCCTGCAACCAAGATTTAAAAATTTTTTTTTACATAGCAATTACTTGCAGGAAATGCTAATCAAAAAAAGTATTACGTTTACCATAATCCTGTATACTTTTATATGTCTACCTCACCTGTGTGTACATTTATTTTCATTGTTGCGAGAGGATTAGTATTGGGTCCAAGAGAAGAAAATTAGAAAGTATTAGTGATAATGACAGTGAAGAAAAGGTGAGTATAAGATCATAGAAAATATTACTTTGCATAAACATTTTTATTTACAGAAGAATAAACATGGGGAAAAGGCTGATATAACTATTCTAACAAAAAAAAGTATCATGATCCAAAATTAGTAAAATTCGAAATTTATTTCAGTGAAATTTGTCTTTCACCTTGGATAAAACTGCTGCCAGAAATAAACTCAGATAAAAATAAAATGATGAGGATGACGAAAGACAGTTATGACCTCATAACTAAATATTCTTATAAAAAATATGGAAAAAATTCTAACAACAATAAAAACCTTGACTTGAAGAATTTAGAAGTATTCGGCGCTATAATATATGGTAATCATTTTTTTATCACGCAGTTGATCATTAAACCAATTATCTAATTGTTTATTTGTTAATTAATAGGATTTAATATGGAAGTATACTCTTTAGATAAAGTAGGTTATAGAATATATAGAGTACGTTTAGTGAGAACTTTAAAAATTCCTGTGAGGGAAGGTAATAATGAATATTATCGGTCTTTAAATCAATTGATGGTAAATAATATATGATTTATGTGACAAATTTGATAAATTTTATTTAACTATATTTGATTTTATAGTATGCGATCCATTATATGTCAAGTATGATTGAAA